CTATAAAAAATAAATAAAAAAATCTATTCTATCTCTCAAATTGGAGGAAGCAATACATATTTGAAAATTACATTAAAATCGGTTGAGTGGTTTCGGAGATCATTGCGGACAAACAATGTTTTTTTTTTGTTTTTTTTTTATAGGAGAGGGGACAAACGAGCATGCGGCTCACCTGATGGTAAGTGACTACCGCCGCTCATGAACAACCGCAACACCAGGGGAATTGCAGATGCGTTGCCGGCCTTTTAAAAAGGAGTAGGCTCTTTTCTTGAAGGTCCCTAAGTCATATCGGTCCGGAAAAATCGCTGATGGTAATCGATTCCACAAGGAAGTCGTGTGAGGAAGAAAACATCTTCTAAATCGCACAGTGGTGGACCGCCAATCATTCAGATGGTGTGGATGGTTGTTGTTCCGTCATCAAATTTGGCGGGAAATGTCTCAAAGCTTTTCGTTGTAACATGTATCAGGCATGCTCGATAAGATTTAAGTCAGGCGACTGTGCAGGCTAATCCAAAACTTGAATATCGTGGCCGCGCCGTATGGGAAGGAGAATTATCGTGCATGAGTAGAAATACCTGCCCCATTTGGATTATGTGTGGGGTAGTAACAGGCTCTACTACCTCCTCGTGGTATTTTTGTGCAGTCAGGCTGCCTTGGATCTAAAAGAGCTGGGTTCGTAGGCCAAGTCAAATTCCTGCCCACACCATGATTGTCCCGTCTTGATATGAGTGGACCTCCTGAGGGTGCCGTAGACGGCTAACTTTCTCTGGAGTTCTCCAAATGCGTGTTTTCCCAAACGCGGGCTCATCGGTGAACAGCACCAAATACCATTGTTCATCACTCCATGGTAAATGCTCCCGAGCCCACGAAAGCCGCCGACCGTGATTGCCACGTCGCAATGCTGACACGTAGCGGTCTTCGAGCATGAAGACGAATGTCATGCAATCTCCTTCTCACGGTTTAGTAGCTTACCAGCAGCTGGTGGTGCTCCTGGTGCCTTTGTAGTTGTTGCGTCGCTGTGATATTGGGTTGTCTTCTGGTAGTCATTTGGAGAAATCGATCCCGTCTCTGCGTAGTAACACGATACATACCCGTGTGCCGTTCAGTCACATCACCAGTACTGCGATAACATGACCACAACCTTGATATCACGTTGCCGCTGGTGTGTAGGTATGGCCTCAGCAACGACGCCTTGAATAGCACAATTTTCTAACATGTCCACGGCTCGTGACATTTCATCTCGACTCAAATGACGAGGTGACATGACTCTTAAAGCTCACACGGTACGTTACATTAATAATTTAAAATTAAAAATTTTGTACAGCCGACTTCAATATAAGTTATTAAGAATAACTCAAATAACTCAAAAACTATTGGTCTGACCTTAATCAATTCATATGGGACCACACAAGAAGTATCAGCTTTCATATAAAAAAAGAATCATCGAAATCGGTCCACCCAGTAAAAAGTTATGAGGTAACACACATAAAAAAAAACATACGCGTCGAATTGAGTACCGTCTCCTTTTTGGAAGTCGGCAGAAAAAGAAAATCAATCTAATCTCTTTTCATTAATTAATATCAGTAGAACAATTTTAATTTTAAGCTGAATGAATCAGTAAGCTGAATTTGCATTGTGCCGGTCGTATAGCTCGAAGTACCGAGTTATCGAGATCGACTAGATGGAGCGACGACCTGGTAATAAGAACATGTCGATGGACGCAGGTGGTTCAAGACAGTGTTTTAAAACGTTCCTTATAGGACGGCAATGTTTAGCAGTGGATAATGATGACGATGGATGAGGTATAAAATAAATAAAATATACCATAAAAACACACACAGAAAAACAGCAAACAAACTCCAGCACAAATGGCAGGAAAATTACCAAATAATGTAAATGCACGTTTTTTTTTTATAGGATAAGGGTGACAAACGAGCACACAGTCCACCTGATGGTAAGTGGTTGCTGCGGCCCATAGACATCTACATCTATCTTCGACTACGAATCAAAATGCAGATGCGTTGTCACCCGTGAGGACTAAGATGGAATGCCTCATTTCCAGTAAAAAGGGTCTCCGGTTCAAGGGTGCACGTTCTTGTGAACCGACGAAAGATACATACGAAATGATTGTAATTATTACCACATTCATTTTCTTCTGGTTGAATGTCAGTCAGGACGAGCAGTCCCAACGGAGACTAGCAATCTGCGCAGGATATGACTATAGTGCAGTGTACACAAGCACAGGTGGTAGAGCCATTCTGCAGCTATATTAATAGTATAGTTGTAGCACGATTGGGTCGGCTCGACCGGGGAAGGACCACGCTCTCGCAGAATATCAGGTTAAATAGCAGCTTAACACTGCTGTATTTCGTATGGTGAGTGTAGAGAACCGGCGACCCTTTTTACGGTAAAAGAGGCATTCTATCTTAATCCTCACGGATGACAACGCATCTGCATTTTGATTCTTTATTGAGGATAGATGCAGATGTCTATGGGCCGCAGCAACCACTTACCATCAGGTGGACTGTGTGCTCGTTTGTCGTTGTAGTGTAGTATAGCCCCCGCGACTATATATATATATTAGTGTTAAGGTAGAATAAGAACATTATAATTAAAGTTAAAGAAGCGGCAACACGCCTCAATTTCATTGACATATTTCCTATATCACAACCATATCCTATAAAAAAAAAACAGTTACACTCTTTATTCTTTCACTCTCATAGTCCCATGGGACGACAACCCGACACTACCGGAGAGAGATCACGAGCAGGGCCACGAAGACGAGATATTTGATGAATTCGAGAACCGCCAACTTTTTGAGTCAGGGTTACTATTAAAAATTTCTTGACAGGAAATCCCAATATTGGTGGCAAACAAGCATACAGTTCATCAGATTGTGAATGGATGCTGTGCCCCATAGACACACCTACATCTATCCTCGATTCAGAATCGATATGCAAACAAGCGTTGTCACCCTAAATAATTATTATATGCCTCGTTATCTGTAAAAAGGCTTGGATCTACTACGAATTAATTTCTCACTCCATCCATTACCGAAGCGGTAGCATTAACATATTTTTTTATTTTCTACAATGAAAATATAAATAAATACGTTAATGCTACGGTACAATTAAATTTGAAACAACTAAAAATGCGGCTAAAATTCATATAAACACGTTTGCTTCCCAAAACGGAATCGCGAGAATTTAACTTTAATAAGATGATAATGTGTAAGTAGCGAGCTAAGTAAACGTATACTCGAGAAACAAAAGCACAATCGTTTGAACTTGAAACATAAACCGTTATCTCCTCATTGCAAAAGTTCATTGTATTTTAGGTATCTGTTGTAGTTTACTGCAGTGACTAATAATAGCGCGTTACGCATTGCCATAACAAAATGAGACATAATACCGTATAAGTAAATGGTGGCTTCAGTTACAAGACTATAACATTAAGTAAAGGCTGGCTAGTCAGATGAATGATATATCTTAAATTTACTAAAAAGATAATTTAAACAATGGAAGATTTTATCACGTAGTAGACAGCCTATTCAAGTGGTAAGTACTTAAAAGATTTAGATGGCAATTACTGAAAAAGTTCCATGACGAGCAAGGACAGTCTGATAATGACAAACGTTGGATAAACTGAAATTAGTATTTGTAGGTTTTCCAAAAAGATCAACTTTGTCGAAAATATCTTCAACCCTTTGAAATACTCTCGTCATAAAGTTCTAGCCTGTAAAAGACAAAAAATGCTTCATACAATACTAAAAATTGATAAGTCCTTTCACACAATACACATAGACCACTTATGTACATTTGTAAAACGTAAATCAGAGAATACTTATTGGTTGGTTCTGAAACCAAATATACGGAATATTATTTTATCTTGTGTGATCAAAAATACAAAAATATCAAATCAGTATTTTAATCTGTTTGCTATTCCTCACATAGTAATATAGCTCTTCTATCACTAGCAAAATTTTCAGAGAATTTGTTATTAGATTGGTAATTAGTCATGATTTAAATGCAGTGGCAACACTACGAGCATTATATAACAATAGTTTGGCCTAAAGGTCTAGATACCAGGCCATAAACTCCAAAAAAAATATAACAATAGTAGAAAAAACGAGTAGGATAATCATTTACGAGAAATTCAGTTGCGTCTTAATACGACTATCAATAAAGCCACGAGAAATCCAGTTAAATTATCATTCGGAACTAGGCTGAGATCAGGTGAAAGTCATAACAAATACTATTAATAAAATAGTCTTATTTCGCTTCAAATATCCTAACTAACAAAGCAAGCAAAAACAAAAGTTTCACAAAAACAGAAAGAAATATAAGGTAGGTCACATAGTTAGAACTGGGAGTGAGATAGAAAGTAATTACGGTTAAACTAGGAAACTTCTTCCTAAGTTATAAGGACTACGAGTACATAGAATAATCAAAGTTTTAGATAAGGATAGATAAGAAATTAAAGATACGCCTTTTACACGTTTTAAACAGAAGAGAAAATACAATACTGTCCCATCAATCACTGTTGATAAAATTTCCATTGTTAATATATATATATCGAGTATATATATATATATATATATATATATATATATATATATATATATATATATACTCGAGAAAGTTCATTTGATTCTGACGATGATTTAGTGGGTATACTTAATGAGAAATATGGAGATAAACACAATGGCACTGTTTAAGTGTGACAATAATTATTACTGGAAAATGTTGAGGGTAGAAGAAAACTTAACTATTATTTAACTTTTGGTGAGAACATACGAAATGAAATTCAAAAGTTACAGTTTTGCTTCTTTCAGCTAAGTAATACAACGTCAATAAAATAAGTATTGCAGAACATACTCCATGTAATTGAAGTCCCCAATCACCATGTTGCGGGTGTTGCACTTTCCTTGTTAGCTTGTTATATATTGCATATCCAGCAAGTGCTCATTTTATGATTTGTTAGCTATAAGTTTAACTTACCACTCCCGAATTTCTTGTATTTCATCGTCACGACCCTCTGGTATTGACTTCAGCCCGTTAAGGAACGGATGCGAGTATTTTGTCGCCGCCATGTCGCGCCCGAGCGCTTTTAGCGAACTGAAACAATGTTAAGGAATATTATAATTTCATACTTGAAATCGTAATTTAATGCGATATTATACAAGTAAGTATAGTCAATGTATGAAAGAATAAAGTGGTAAGACTGATATACTTTAATATTATTCAACTTCACGCCTAACAAGATATGTAATGTATTAAAAGTAATTCTATGTAATGCATTAAAAATAAAGTTTTAATGAGGGTTAATAATTTTCTGCTCACCAGATGTCGCTAGTTGACACTGAGGTAATTTTTTTTGTTACACAATGTAATTTAATTGAGAAGTTGTTTTTTAATAAAAGTTTATCAGTTTCTAGAGTATTATAATATTAATACACGAAACAATGCGTCAGTGGTTTGCTACTTAATTTTTTGCACATTTTTAACTTTTTTTAATTTTTCTACTTTTATCCATATATCTGTGGTTTGGTTTGTTTATTTTTAATGTTATTAATATAAAATATAGTTAATAGTACAAAAATAAACAATAACTTTTACATTTTCCGAACAAATTAACTATGAAATCTGTCAAATGATATACCTCACTTTCTAGTGGCGCCGCCCTGGTGGCAGAAAAAATCGTGGATGCCCTTATTCGATTAAATGAAGTTTAGCACTATTAGTTAATTGACGGAACCAATTTGACCATTGTCATACTCGTAGTTACATGGAAGATGGAAGTGGAAATGCAAGCAATTAAAGAAACGGGGCTGTCAACATACAACGAAATACAAAGTGTACCTGATTTCGCAGGCACTAAATACAAGACTTCAATGAGTCCTTCAATACACAAAAAAAAATGTTTTTTGTTGGCTTATACGTTTTCATAATATCTGTTCTTCAATCAAATATCCTTGGGACCCAGCGAAAAACTCGGGCACGATACATATTTTAAGGAAAAGTGTACAAGACACAAAACTTTATGTGTTTTTGGAAATGTTCAAAAACTTGTTAACGGCAAACTTACGCACCGCATGCTGGTTAGGATATGGTGAGTGATAATGAACGAGCACATGATATTTAAAAAAGATATGGACTTGAATTCCATATTAACTTCTAAAAGTTGTTTAATTAAAGTTGTTAACCAATTTCAAAAAAAAACGTGATTGTTCCATTTGTATTCTACTTAGAAAATACAACAGTAATATGTAAGCTACATTAATCGTATTGGTGGCATAAACTTCGCTCTTCTAAATGATCTTTCCCGATAAATTTAGCAATGGTCAGAAGAAAGAAATATTTGATTACTATATCGTTTCATATATTCATACAATAATCAAGAAGCGGATGCCAAGTTTTGAAAGCTTCATCCCGAGACTAAATGTGAACTGTTCAATTTAGCGAATGATACACAAAGTATGTTTGAACTAAAACTGAAGTGACAACGAACTTACAAGTTGTAAGTTACAACCAATCTGATGGTAAATGACTTTAAGCAAAGAGGGTTACAAATTTTTTGTCACCTCTTTTTTTTATAGGATTGGAGGGTGACAAACGAGCACAGAGTCCACCTGATGGTAAGTGGTTGCCACAGACCAGATAGAGAAAGTGGTTGCTGCGGCCCATAGACATCTACATCTATCCTCTATTACAAATCAAAATGCAGATGCGTTGTCACCCGTGCGGACTAAGATGGAATGGACGAAGATGTAAAAAGAGTCTCTGGTTCTCGACACTCACCATACGAAACACAGCGTTAAGCTGCTATTTTACACTGGTATTCTGTGAGACCGTGGTCCTTCCCCGGTCGAACCGACCCATTCGTACTACAACTATACTACTAACATATCTGCAGCATGGCTCTATCATGTTAGGACTTCTGAGGACTAAAATGGAATGCCTCACGGCCTGTAACTGACTGTACTGACTCTCTATATCCGTCAGAGCGAAACACAGCAGTGCAATACTTAGCACAAACCTAACCAGACGGACCCTTAAGCAGAAAAAGAGTCTTATAAGGGCGACACTGAAATTTTTTAGAACTGGCCACTTGTAAACGATATAATAAAAAAGTATAAGTTCAAATTTTGAAAATGGAACTCTTTGCTAAACTATTGTATATGTATTTTATTAATTTGTCATTTAAATACGATTTGGCGGCAAATTGACAATTTTGTGTCACGTCAGTATGAATTTAACGCAAGAAAATTTTCGTACAATGATTTTTTATGACTTTCGATGTCATTTAAATCAACAAGAAAGTTATGATAGACCTCGATTGGCCTTTCACGATGAAGCCCCACCTAGTGCCACTGTTTACAACTGGTTTAATGAGTTTAAACGTGGTCGCACTAATTTCACCACTACCTGCGTGAGGGACGGCCTTCTACAGCGACGACCGAAGATAACATCAGTGTTGTGCGGCGTGTGACAGAGACTGACAAAAGTGTGACTTATCAGAAGATTTGGACAAGCTTAGGCATTGGTATGAGTCAAATGCACAAAATCCTCCATAACCATATAGCGGTCAGGAAGCTTTGTGCCCGGTGAACACCTCATAATTTGACAGAGGTCCAAAAACTCCGTCGTGTTGATTGGTGTCGTGAAATGGTCCAAAGATTTAACGGAGGTGACTCAAATGCTGTGTTCGACATATACCTACGGGTGATAAAAGCTGGATTTATTGTTATGGTCCTGAAACTAAGATACAGTCTGCTGTCTGGGTGTTTCCTTCCGAGGAGTTGCCAACTAAAGTGAAGAGAGGTGGAAGCGTGGGAAAAAGATAGTGGTCTCGTTCTTCGGAAGGACAGGTCATTACGCAACAATTGTTTTAGAGGATCGAAAAACAGTTACTGCAGAGTGGTACACTAACAATTGTTTGCCACTTATCTTGGAAAAAGTTCGGGAGAAACGACCTCTCCATAGTATCCTCCTTCATCAGTACAACGCCTCGTTATATACCGCCAACCAAACAATCGACTACTTGGCGACGTCAGACGTGGAATTACTGGGTCATCCGCCCTATTGCATCGACCTTGCAATTTTTATATATTTCCGAAAATAAAAGAAAAGCTTCGAGGAAAACGTTTTATGGACGCCGAAGAAGCAGTGGCTGCGTTTCAAAATGCCGTCGAAGAGACCCCTAAGGACGAGTAGGCAAAGTGCTTTTCTCAGTGGTACCATCGGATGCAGCGATGTATTGATGTAAATGGACAATATTTTGTAAAGATATAATAAAACTAATAACTTGCTAGTTTGTTCAGTTTTTGATTTTCTCAGAACTTTCAATGTCGCCCTCGTACCACCCAATAAATTTAAGTAATGAATGCACAAAAACATTTCTATTCGTTTTTACCCAAATCAAACATTTAATAAAAAATGCGTTATAAAAGTTGTCAAAAATTTTCGCTGCATCACGCATGCTTTAATGTTGCTTCAACTAAGGAATAAAGCCAACAATTTTTAGTTGACGGTGAAAGCAGATACGTTGCAGTAGAAATCCAATGAGGAGTGCCTTTCTGTCAACAGCATATGTGACCTTGTTGTAGCTACATTTTATGTTTGAGAAAATTTTATATTCAAAAAAGTGGTGTCAACTAAAGGTTATGAAGTGGTATTAGAAAGCTCTTTTTAACTGACATCAAAAAAGAGGAGGTTCTATATTCGACCTACATGTTTTTTTTGTATGTTCTCCGATTTGTCGAGTACGACAGAACAGATTTTAATATTTTTCTTTATTATTAAATAAATCTCGACATAAGAGTGGTCCCAATCAAATTTCAAGAAAATAGTCTCCCGTCTAAATAGTTGCAATTATTATTATTATTTGTAAAGTTTTTATTGTTATTATTTAGACGGCATTCTAGTTCATTTTATTTGTTTCCTTGAGCTTGTAATATTGCTCTGTCCTTTCCTAAATGTAAGAAAGTTAACATTTACAAAATTAAAATTAAAAACCGCCTTCAAAACAAAACCATATTTAAATATCTGTAAATATTCAAAATTGCTTGATACTTATGCTACTTAAAGACTTTCGTCTTATTTTATTTAACGGTAGCATTTAAATAATTAATTAAAAGCGGTATTTTTCTTTAATTATAAAATTTAACAATATTTTCTTTAATTATTTATTAATTATGAAAATAGTTAAAGAATAATTAGATGGAAATTTTTCTGTAATTTACATGCTAAAAGTTATATTTTGATTGCGCTAAATTTTTAAAAGTTTGTGTTAAAAAAAATACATGTGTGCAGTTCACACGCAGTAGAAGTGAAACCTTCGAATGAAAAGAAATTTATAATAAAAATATTTCACGGCAAATGATTTATTTAATATGATAACTTTCAACCACAAGTACGGCATAAAGTATAAGACAAAAGTTTAATCTTATAGCAAATAAATGAATAATTTTTTTCTAATAAAATTGCTTTGTAATAGCACATCTACTTCATCCTATAGGTAAAGCCTTTTTATCGAAAAAATTTATGAAATCAGGGATGGGGAAAAATGATTGGTTAGTTAAGACAATTTTATTCAATATGGTTAATTTTATTTAAAATTAAATTTTGGAATTTTTTTAATTTAAATTTTGGAATACCAGCGTAAAATAGCAAGTTAACGCTGCTGTGTTTCGTATGGTGAGTGTAGAGAACCAGAGACCCTTTTTACTGGAAACGAGGCATTCCATATTAGTCCTCACGGGTGACAACGCTTCTGCATTTTAATTCGTAATGGAGGATAGATGTAGATGTCTATGGGCCACAGTAACCACTTACCATCAGGTGGACTGTGTGCTCGTTTGTCACCCTAATCCTATAAAAAAATATTTATTTAATAAAGTTATTTTTTGTAACTGTTAATTGTACAGTTAAAATTTACATTAACCATATTTAAAGCACCGCACAAAGAGGAGACCGAAATAATAGGAAATACTATTTTAGCAAATGCTATTAACCTATTAACCACTATTGGTTAAACTTACCATTAAAAATGGCGGATTCGAACCCACAACCTTTTAAGTTCGCAGTTTAG